TACTGACCAAACGGAGTTACCAGTGTCCTTGTGTACTTGTGCAGCACAGTCGTTGCAGAGGTAAAAATCTCTAGTTCAGATGGGATCCTAAATGAGATGTAGTACAAGGTTAGTAGTATCATGAGACGGACTACAAGGCTTATTGAAAACGCTCCTTTACGCACAAGGGTCAGGAGGCCCCTGGCGATGGCGGCCAGTCGGTTCAGTCCCATGCTCTTGTGCTGTGTCGCTGCGCAGGGCTGCTGGAGGCAGTGGACCTGCAGTGCTGGACCAACAACCAGCAGCACCGCAGCCAGGAGATGGACACCGAGCGGCTGATCCTGCGCCGCGGGCAGCCCTTCTCCCTCACGGCCCACAGCGCCGGGCCGCCCCCACAGCCCCCGGCCCGCCGGCTCGCCATCGTCCTGCACCTGGGTGAGCGCCGGCCTGCGACTGCGTTTCTCCCCCGTCCGAGCCTCCCCAGCACCAACACCCTGCACCCTCCACGTCCTGCGGCTTCTAGGTGCCTCCAAGCTGGGTGACAAGGCCTTCTCCTGCTGCGCCCCAAAGCTCTGCGATTGTATCCCCAAGAAAATCTCACAATCATCTTCCCTGAGTGCATTTAAATCCATTCAGAAAGGCATTTGCTTAATTGTTGTCAGCTGCATTTCGTAATGATCATGTGCTACATCTCTAACTACTTGGATCACAGAATCCTTATTTTATCATTTGTTTTTGATACCTACTGTAAAGCGCTTTGTGCTGCAACTTTTCAAGGCGCTATATGATATAAGGTTTATTATGATTTATACACACGCTAGTCTGCAAATGGTACAGGGGCCAGCCAGCCGCAGGGCCTGTTACAGGATGCCGTCTGTCTTATCAGACACCGCTGCTGCACACAAGCAGCTGACGATGTGACACAGAGCAGGCGGACATCCACCGCCATGCTGTGTACTGAGCCTGCTTCAGTGCCTGACAGTGCTGCAAAGTTTCAAAGAGAGGACTCTTGTGCTCTTGGATTGTGGTCTTCAGCTTTTTGATCATATTGTAGGCAAGTGACCCTCAATGTCAATATTCTCAGAAATATTGATTTTCTCAGAAAGAGTAGGGGTGTAACCCAAGTGTCCTGGACAAATTTCTCCCTGGCCTTTACCAATCATGGCCTCCTAATAATCCATATCTATGAATTGGCTTCATTACTCTGCTCTCCTCCCCACTGAGAGCTGGTGTGTGGGGAGAGTACTGGTGCACTCTGGCTGCCATCACATCATCCAGGTGGGGCTGCACACTGGTGGTGGTGGAGAGGAGTCCCCATTACCTGTAAAGTGCTTTGAGTGGAGTGTCCAGAAAAGTGCTATACAGGTGTGAAGAATTATTATTATTATTATTATTGTTGTTGTTTTCCAGGCTGATTTCTTATTTCTCTTTTCTTCAATAAAACCTATTCTAATTGATTCTAATCTGTTCTCTTGTACTTCAGTCCCCATAGGAACTCTGTGGGAGTGTTGATGAGGTGTTTAAGATCCTGCTCTCACTCTTCTGTGTGCATGGCTCCAGGTAGAGACGGCGATACTGTGATCAAGGTGTCTGACTCCCGCGGCCCAGCAGGACAGTGGTGGTTCAGTGTGCAGCCTGCACAGGGTGAGCTCCTGCTCACTGTGCACAGCCCCCCGGACGCCCCAGTGGGGTACTACAGGATGAACATTGTGGTGCTCGACTCTGACGGACTCATCCTCCAGCAGATGCCAGCTGGCAGCTTCTTCCTGCTCTTCAACCCGTGGTGCAAAGGTCAGGATGGACAAGTGGAAATAATACATATTTATGCAAATACATTTACATACATTTATTTGCCTTAGGGTAATATTTTGGGAGCTATTTCTAACATGATTGTTTTCTGTTTTTTGTTGGTATATGTGTTTCGCCTGTGTGTTCCTGTGTGTGTGCTGTGGTGTGTCTATTTGTGCACTGTGGATGTGTGATGCTGAATGTTGCTGTGGTGTGTCTGTGTGTTGCTCTGTGTGGCTGTGGTGTGTCTGTGTGTTGCTCTGTGTGTGCTGTGGTGTGTCTGTGTGTTGCTCTGTGTGGCTGTGCTGTGGACGTGTGTTGCTGTGGCGTGTCTGTATACTGACAGATGATGCAGTACACCTGTCAGGTGAGGAGCAGTTACAGGAGTATATTATGAATGAGAGTGGGCTGCTGTTCCAAGGCTCCTGGGACCAGATCAACACCCTGCCTTGGGATTTTGGACAGGTACGTCAACTGTTTTAGTCTAGAAATCCTTTTTAATCCTGGTTTCTATTTAAAAAGGAGCAGATGTGTATTGCAGTTAGTAGAGACTGTAGAGCAAACACTGGTTCTGGCAGAGGGATTTAATATCTCTTGTCCCATGACTCAGAAAAAAAGATTAATACAAACATTTTTGGCACAACAGTGTACATTGAGAAGCTGGGTATGCAGGTGCTCAAGGGATGAAATACTTCAGGATTATTATACTCTTCCCAGTGTGTCCCAGTGTGACTGGGAATATGCAGCCTGCGTGAACTCTGACAGCACACTTAGAGCAACTTGAGCCGACTCTACAACCTCTGAGGCATTTCTGGCGGGGACTTGCGAGATGCTTAGCAGAAGAAACGAGAGATTGTCTCAGCGCACTGCAGGACTAGCAGTGTGGGAGGGGGGCGAGACTTTAGCCACAGTGAGAAGATTTGCTCGGCCTTTGTACTCTTAAATCACATCTGTTGCTCTTGCCCAACAAATTACAAGCACAAGAAAAAAAAATGAAGAGAGAAAAGAATATTGCAGTGGAGGCAAAAATAAACATTTCTGGCACAGCTACCGAAAAATATACTGTAGTATCCAGGATAATAATTAGAAACGTCCAGACAAAGAAAGGGAAATGGCTGAAGTGCTGTGTGAGTATTTCACTCAAGTGTTCAGTAAGGAAGAAATCGACAGCAGGCCTCAGGCAGAGGAAGGACACAGCTCTGTGTTAGACTGTATTAGTGAGAAGGAGGCTGCAGTGTTATAGGAGCTAGAAATCCTGGTGGCCAACCAGGTGCTCTTCAGGAAACCCAGAGGCATCTAATAAAACTCTTCCAGCAGTCACTCAGGACCTGCAGTGATCTCCCCTAGACAAGCTCATAAAAAAAAAAACCAAGACGATCGCTGGTATAGCAGCGCAATTCCTGCAGATAACTAACACAGATTTGGGAAGGCAGGGAGCAACATGACTTTGCAGAACTGCAGTTCCGTCTGACTCTCCTTCTCGTTTTTGTTTCAGTTTGAGAGGGACGTGGTGGACATCTGCTTCCAAATCCTGGACAACTCCCCGGCGGCGCTGAGGAACCCCCGGGCCGACGCTCTGAGCAGGAGCGACCCTGTCTACGTCAGCAGGACCGTCACGGCTATGGTAGAGTGGAGCGCTTCTCAGGGTTTGCTCATCCTAGAGATCACTGCCTTCCTCCTGCCACACAGCAGTGAGCAGGGTGAGGTCTTGCCGTGAAGGTAGACTGTAGCGACCTCTGCTGGGAGCTTTGAAAATGAATAAGTCTGCACGCATCAGGTACATATAGAACACTACAGAACTACAAAATAGTTCCTGAGCATGTTTTTTCTTTGCTGAAATGCTCATTTGCCAAACCCGTTTTTTAATACAGTACATGTATTTCCACCAGACACCATGGTCGACCGACCCAATAAATCATGAAAACAAATATTCTGCATGAACAGCAGTTACAGGGCAGAAGACAGTACCTAATTTCTCCATTTGTCACTCTTTCAGTTCATCCATTGTTGCTTGACACCAGGCTATCTGCTTTTCCAGTGTATGTCTGGGGGGGAGCTTTTGGGGGTGCCCTAACCCTCTGAGTGTGGTGTCTGGCTGCATTTGTGTGAGCGCAGGTCAACGCCAACGATGACCGGGGCGTGGTGTCGGGGCGCTGGGATGGAGATTACTCAGACGGGGTGGCGCCCACACGCTGGACGGGCAGCGTGGCGATCCTGCGGCGCTGGAGCCGCGGTGGGGCACAGAGAGTCCAGTACGGACAGTGCTGGGTCTTCTCTGGGGTGGCCTGCACAGGTGAGGAGAAGACACAGGGCGAAACGTCCAGCAAACTAACAGGCAGAGGAGGTGCGCTGACAACTTTCACTGTCAGTGTTATTATTTAGGTGCTCGTGCAAGGGGGTAGACTGCATGATTTCAAAAGCATTACTGATTGAGGAGTTTCATCATGTGGCAACAGAAAATTACTGAATTATTCAGCAAGATCCACTCCTAAACTCCCAGAACACGCTCACAGGGGCTGTAGCACAGAACGTGTGACACACAGCTGCTCTTTTCAGTCCTGCTACCTCACTGATATTCACTCCCGGTCCTGGAGGGGGCGCTGTGTCGATTCACAGTTCGACTACATTTGAATCAGTTGTCCACTTAATTGTTTTTTACTGCCACTGTTGCTAGGTCTTAAGCAATTGAGGATTATAAGGTGCCTGTAAACCCTATTAGACTGCAGCTCTCCAGGACCGGGAATGTCCACCTCCCCAACAGCAGGGGCTCCCCAGTGTCCTTCAGAGTCAAGGCACAAACGCACGAATCCTGGTAAAGCAGGGGGAGGAGTGTACGTGCATGAAGCTGTGCAGCACAGGCAGGATACTGAGACAGGGCAGGAGGGCGGGAGCCCACACTGACCGGCCTGCCTCCCGTTGTGGGTATCCCCCCCGCAGTGCTGCGCTGTCTGGGGATCCCCACTCGCTGTGTGACCAACTACTCCTCCGCCCACGACACCGACGGGAACCTGACTGTGGATCAGTGCTACAACGAGCAGCTGGAGAGTCTCCCCGCGGCCGGGAAGGACATGATCTGGTAGGCTGCCTGCGCCCGTGAGACACTCCTTCACAGTGGGGTGTGCCTTGCAGTCAGTTAAAGCCTCTTCGCTTCTGAACCTTCGTGCCACCTACCAGGCCATAAGAGCGCTTATCGTCATTTTGACTGGAAGTCGCGCTCCTGCTCCTGCAGTAACAGGCCAGGCAGGGGCCCCCCGGTGAGGCCGGGAAGACAGACTCTCACGTCGGTGTTCCTCTGTGCAGGAATTACCACTGCTGGGTGGAGTCCTGGATGGCACGGCCCGACCTGCCCAGGGATTACTGGGGCTGGCAGGTCCTGGATCCCACCCCCCAGGAGCGGAGCGACGGTAACAGCCCCCCCTCCGACTCCCACAAACACACACCGTGCCTGAGCCCAACTACAGGGGTTCCCGACTCTGCTCCGCAGATCACACAAGTCCCTGCTGGGATAGTTCTGCTGTGCAGTTCCCCTGTTCTGCATCAGCTTGCAGGAGCAGTAAAACCTGTAAACTCTTTGCCTGCCCTAATTCTCTAGACCAAGAGTAATTATTCTACAGGATTAAGCTATGTATTTTATGCTTTGAAAGACACTTCTCACAAACGGAACCAGCTCTTTCTGTTTTCTGCACTGCAGCTTGGAAATCTAGACTCATTGCAAAATGAAAAGCTCTGGGCTGAATGGAAACACTAGGTGTCTGGTGTTGGCGTTAAAAACCTTGAAAATGAAACACATTGATGGGGCGTGACCCAGAAGCAGTTTCACATCTTGAAGATTTTGGTGCACATGGAGACACTGAATTGTGAGGTAAGGGGGTGGGTGGGGACCACCACTAGAGCCTGGGACCCCACTAGAGCTGGCTCAGCCTCACTGAGCTCTCATACCCCCTCAGGTGTTTTTTAAAGAAAATAAACTTTACTGCAACAAGGAATGGCACCCAGTTCTTACAACAAATATAAATGTACAGTAACATTTTGACATACTTAAAAATGTCTCCAGAAAATCTGGGTTGCCCATTCTCCATCACCCCCCTGGAGTTTTTCTATCAAAATAAACTTTATTCCACAATAGACATCTTACAATGAGTACACACGCTAACAAGCCATGCAATCTCTGCTAGATTACAGACTTTCTCAATCAATCAGAGCAAGCGGACGCTGGGGCTGGATTGGCCCAGTGAAAGCCCTACCCCTGGCCCTTGCCCCGGCTCTGAAACTGCCCCGCCCCACAGGCGTTTTCTGCTGCGGCCCCTGCCCGGTCCGAGCGGTCAAGGAGGGCGACGTGGACGTGAAGTACGACGCGCCCTTCGTCTTCTCGGAGGTGAACGCGGACCTGGCGTGCTGGGTGGTGCGGGCGGACGGCGGGCGCTCCCGGGCAGCCCTGCAGCGCCACTCCGTGGGCAGGAACATCAGCACCAAGAGCATCTACGGGGAGCAGAGGGAGGACCTCACCCACCACTACAAATACCCCGAGGGTACCATCCTCCTGGTGCTCACCCCCACCCCCTCTTTCTGTCCTGACCTGCTGTAGCTGCCCAAGTCGGCTTACAGCTGATAAGGATTTTGGCATAAACTGGTTTATGAAAAGTATCTCTTTAAGTTTATAAATTTCGGCAAGAGGAATTCAGAAACCAAAACAGATTATATTACAAAGAAAAACAGTATTATCCAATATTCAAATCAACCATGAAACAAGTAAGGCAGTAGGAGCCTTTTTTTCCTCCAAAACAATTACAACAGTTCGTGCTTTGCAGCAAACTAAACACTTAGTTATACTGAGACTATCCTGGAAGGGGCCGTGAATCCTGGGTCCTTAATGGCAGTACCTCAGTCCCCTTACAAGCCTCAAAGATTCCCTCCTCCTTTGTGAAATGTCCTTACTTCTCTTGCTGTGGTCATGTTAAAAGACACTGTCTTCGCAAAGGAATGAAGAAGGTCTTCTAATTTGAAAAGTGTAATTATAGAGGGCAGACAAGGCTGTCCTGCTATGACACAAACTGGAACAGTATTTCTTTTTATCCCTGGGCAGGTGTAGCTGTGGCTCAGGCAGTCTTCCAGGTTTCTCTGGCTAGTTGACTTCTTCTGATTTCTTTCTTTCTTTCTCTCACGCTCTCTCTCTTTCTTTCTCTCTCTCTTCTCTTTCCCCCTTCCCCCTAAGAGGAACTTCCTCTATTGCCACTGCTACACTGGGGCCCCCCCAGCATTAACCCCTGACCTCTCTGCGCCCCCAGGCTCTGCAATGGAGAGGCAGGTGTACGCGAAGGCCGGGAGGAAGCTGGCTCTGCGGGGCTCCGGGGCCGGGCAGCTGGAGCTGGGCATCAAGCAGCCCCAGGCGGTGCACGGCAGCGACTTCGACGTCTACGTGCATGTGCGGAACCGGGGCGGCGAGGACGAGCGCGGCCAGCTCACCGTCATCGCTCGGGCCGTCACCTACAACGGCATCCGCCTGGGGGAGTGCCACAGGAAGACCACCAGCCTCGCCCTCCCCGCGGGTGCCGGTAAGTCGCGGGCAGCCGGGCCTGGTCTGGCACTGTGCGCTGGCTGGGCTCTCTGCAGCAGGCTGTGCTACTTCACACGTCTAATTGCTTCTGCTGCTACCGAGTAGAAATACTGTATAGCAAGAGCAGAACACTGAGAATTGAATCAGATCAGTGATGGGATAGCAGTGAGCCCAAGACTTTTCTACTCCTCTTTCAGACTGCATGTTTTTCTGATTTTCTTCCTGTTCACTCCCTTGCAGAATTCTGCTACAGAACCTACTCATTTAGTTAGGTTAGGTTGTATTCTGGTCCTGCGGAGAAATAGGTTGGAAGTATGAACAGAGCACCCTGCTGAGATGCACAAATACGACCAAGGGCAGAGGAGCACCAGACAGAGCTTAAGGCTTTAAGGGAAGAGCATTCTGACACCGGTGCTTACACTGAGGTGTGTGTGTCAGCTCACAGGGAGGTGCTGAGAGTGCGGTATGAACAGTACGGGGAGCGTCTCTCTGAGCACCACCTGATCAGAGTCACCGCGCTGGTGGAGCCCCACGGCCGCCCTGACGTCACCCTGCACGAGATCAACATCCCGCTCAGCGTGCCCCGGCTCGTCGTCAAGGTAACGCCTCCTCTGGGACAGCATCCCTGCCGGCTGGCTTTTTCTCCGCTGAGCCGAGCGCGCAGTCTGCTGCGGACTACATCCCCTGAGACCGTGCAGCACTGCAGACGCCCGGCCTGAACAATTAGGTTCAAGTTTATTTGTCAATCCAGCCATATACAAGTATACAGAGGAGAGAGATATCGTTCTCCTACGGTGCGAATACAGACACGACACTGACAAGACAATGCTACAGACAATGTAGACATAGACATTTCTGACAGGGTACAGGGTACATAATGTGCATAGTGCAATTTACTTTACAGGACTGTGCAAAGAATACATCAGACAGTATGCCTGACATTAGGCAAAACAGAACTAAGTTTCCAGATTAAGAGTCACGAGGGGGAATAACAGTGACAAGTGTATTTGTACACACAACCATGTGCTTGTTACCCCTGGGGCACCTCTCATCTTCTCCTCTGGAGACACGAGAGGCCAGGGCTCTAGACCTGGAAGGCTCCGGGTTCAGCTCCTGAACAAAGTTCTTGCACTCAGGCTGCGCCGGCGAAACGCCCAGCTGTATGAATGGGCACAAAGGAAGGTCATTTCAGATCAGCCATGTAGATCAGCAGTAGGCAGGAAGAGTGACGCCCTGCTCTCCTGTGGCTTTCCTTGCCTTCGCAGCTGGGGTTTGGCCCGTCAGCTGCCCCGGCGGTGCTGTAGCAGCCTCTCTGTGCTTCTGTGCCCAGGTCATCGGGGAGGCGGTGGTGTCCCAGCCGCTGAAGGCCCAGATCACCTTCGTCAACCCCCTCCCTGTCACCCTGAGAGGCGGGGTGTTCACC